GATCCTGCATTTCCAGGCTACACTTACTCCTACCCGGCGGGCTGGACGATGGCACCATAGTCCTCAACCCACCAGCCATAGCCGATTTAATCATAGGGAATCACTTCCCAGAAGAGTGGAACAGCATATCCATGTTCATTCCCCCACTGACCGAGCACTCTCCTGTTATTAGGACCGATGCAGCAGGCCACTCATGCTTGGCTACTATTTTGGTAAGCACTGGTTCAGAGACATGTGGCAAGAAGCGCTTGCCTTACTGGCCTTCACGGAAACTTCTGCCTTTTGAAGATTTATCCCATTGTAGCAGCAGTCCATACTTCGGGTCATCTGTGGACCGGTAAGGCAGTCAAGCATTTCTCAGATTTGGCATCTTGCATAATCATAAATAAGGGCACGCTGCCTCCTCAACCATTATGCGGTTAATACAGTATTGACGTGGCTAGCCGCCAAACTACAGTCATTTATAGTGTGCAAACACATTGCAGGTATTCATAATACACCTGCTGTCGCTTTGTCCCATCTAACTTTCAGGCATTCTGCAAGGTACATCCCTTCACCAACCAGCTCCCATCCAGAATATCGATATTTCCAGAGTTAACAATGGATTGACAAGATTGTTGACCCATGCAGGTCACGCTCACATAATGTTCTGTCTCCCAACACCAAAACCTACGACAGGGCTTTGACTGTGTTCAACAAATTTTGTGGGGAGTACCCCATTTCAGATAATTATTCTATTGAGACCATGGTGGCTTTTGCCTCCTTTAGCCTCCTTTTGCCACCTAAACCTAAACCTAGCAGATAACACTATTAAATTATATCTTCCAGGTTTACAACACCATGTCCTCACTACATTTCTTAATCACCCACCTTTCCTTTCCACGTACCCCATCAAATGGGCTATTCTCAAAGGCATCAACAAAATAGATCAACCTCCAGCTACCAATAGATTACCCATTGACGGAACCATATTCAGGAACATGTCAGACTTATTGGACACAAATCCCTTTAATACCCAGACTAACTCTGTCATCAAAGTAGCCATTTACCTAGTTTTCTACGGCTTCCTGAGACCACAAGAGTTTACTGTGGTCCGTCAAACGGATATCAGCTCCTGTTTAAAACTATCGGACATAACCAAAAACGGTGACCATTACATGATGTCTCTACACTCATCTAAAACCAATCACACAAACTACCCAACTACAATCCTCCCTGTTTCCTACAGAGAACCTCTGGTGTCCCGTTAAAATACTTGACTTATTTCTATCCACAAACTTCATTCTCCCATCTAACTTGCCCCTACTACTGCTTCACGGACACCCACTTATCACTTCAAAATTTATAACCCACGTTAGAACATTACTGCTAAGATTTACAATGCTAGAACTTTGAAGGCTTTCCTGATTTCTTTATCAGGATGTGGAATATAAGTGCTCTAAACAAAGGATTTCCATCTGCCCTGCCACTTTTTCCAGTCATTCCTTCAGAATTGGAGCAGCCTACTCAGCCTCCAGAACGGACACATCAGTCCATATCATCAAAAGACTGGGCAGATGGAAATCCTCTGTTTATAGCACTTATATTCCACATCCTGAGAAAGAAATCAGGAAAGCTTTCAAAGATCTAGCATTGTAAATTATGACTAAAGTGTGTTTTCTGCAATATCTTCTGCCCTCTTTATTACAGGCCTTCCCATATGTTGGTTTTGGTACACCACTACCAACTTTCCCCCTCTTCTCTATTTTCATATACGAATTAAGTTCCGACCACAAGTAAAAGGCCATAGGCCTGAATTTGTAGGAGGAGTTTTCCCTGTAAAAGCTCTACTCTCCCTGTTTACCTATGCTGGTACCAGTAAGAGTGACCCCTCCCACCGCTCTCTCTAATAAACTTACTATAATCATTACATTACCTCTGGTGGGCCCTCTTTATTACAGGCCTACCCGTACGTTGGTGTCGGCACACCACTAACAACTTTCCCCTCTTTTCTATTTTCATATACAAATTAAGTTCCGACCACAAATATATATATATATATATATATATAAACAAAAATAGGTAAAGGGAGCACACTAGGACTTCATTAGGAAAAATAAGCTTCTTTTATTAAATGCTTACCAAAGCATAGTCTGTGCGAAAAAAATCAACGTTTCGACCCTCCTGGGGTCTTTATCAAGATCACAGTAACATAGTTAATCAAACCAAATATATACAGAAATAGTAGTGACAGCTTACCAATGAAGCGATCGAGCAGCCGACCGGCAGAAGAACCCGGAAGTGAAAACACCACGTGGACGTGAAGCGTAAGTGACGTGGTTGCTAAGCAACCAGACAAACTAAAAGCGAAAAAGTAGATACATAGTATGTAAGTGTATCTAACCATCCGTCCGGGAATGGAGGAACTAATTATGATAGCCGAAACAGTGGAGAAACCTCTGTGGTGAATTAGTGATCCTGCAGATAATCCAAAAATCCTGCAGTGTGAAAAGCAATACTGAAAGAGTACTCCAAAAGAGCGGCTAAACATAAAAAACAAAAAAACAAAATAAAATATGAAAATAAAACTAAAAAATAGAAAATAAATGTATAAAAAATGCTGAATAGAAAATAAATAAATAAATAAATAAATAAATAATGAAGAAATGAAAATATAAATCAATATAAAAGTGAAGAAAAATATAAATAAATAAAACAAAAATCAAAAATAAAAAATAATAAATAATAATAAATGAATAATAAGTGAACAATAAAAAATAAATAAATAAAGAATACAGAAATATATAAATATAAAGAATGAATAAAATAAAAAATAAACACTAATAAACAACTAGGACACAAGCCAGAGCCACTGAGGCAAAGTATAAGAGCATAGCCTATGGGTTATCAATATGCTCTAAAGTAGCAAAACACTACCCAATAGTACTCTAACTGGGTGAATTATATAGCCTCTGACTGGGTGAATTATATAGCCTCATAACTTACAGTATTAAGCCTAACAGAACAGGAGAAAGATGAAGAAGGATAACATAAGATGACAGGAGGAACGGAGATTACACATACCACAGAGTGGGCAGAACAAAGCTTATAAAAACATAGAGAGAACCAAATTTTCATTTAGTCCCTTAGGAGTCACAGTGTCCAGATAGTGTATCCAGTAAGCTTCACGTTGTAGAAGTATTCTGGATCTGTCACCCCCTCGTGGCAACATAGGAACATGGTCAATGGCTATGAAGCGAAGCGTAGGTAGTGGATGCTGTGCAGACAAAAAATGCTTCGCCACGGGCTTATCTGTCTTGTGGTCCCTGAACGCGGTTATAATTCCAGATCGATGTCCCCTCATACGGTCTCTTAGCGTCATATCCGTTTTCCCAACATAGGAGAGTCCACATGGGCAAGTGATCATATAGACAACATGTGTGGTCATACACGTAATATAGTAGGTAATTGGAATTCTTTTCCCACTGTGTGGATGGGCAAATGTAGATCCACTAAGCATATGGCTGCATGTAACACAGCCTGTGCACTTATAGCATCCTTTTTTCTTGATGCCTGTTGTTTTTGCGTAGCAGTGACGGGGATCATTTTTAACTAATAAATCCCTCAGATTACGATTACGTCGATAGCTGATAGTCGGGTTACCTTTAAATCTGACTGGAAGAGTGCTGTCGCTTTGAAGAATATTCCAGTGTGCATATATGGACTTCTTTACTAGTGGAGTAATTGTATTAAATGTGAGTGGCAGGAAAATATTCTTGGTCTTATTTCCATTCGCTTTGGTGGTTTCATTGAATTTTTTCCACGCTCTTTGTTTAGCATTCATAAGAATCCGAGGGTGAAAACCTCTGGCTAAGAACCGGTTCCATATTTCCTGTAATTGTTCTTCCCGTTTTGTCACATTGCTATTATATCTTAAAACCCGAAGGAATTGTGAGATGGGCAAAGAATCTTTGACATGCTGAGGATGGAAGCTGGTAGCCGATAGTAGAGTATTGCGGTCCGTAGTTTTCCGGAACAAGGTATAGCCCAAATGGTTCCCCTCTCTAAATATGGTGACATCTAGGAATTCAATACTGGTCTTATGCCAGTTTAAGGTTAATACCACAGGAAGTGGTAGAGTATTGATATATTGAATCATCTCTTCCAGAGAGGCCAATGATTCCTGCCAAATGACAAAGATATCATCAACATATCTGAGGTACTTGATGATATGTTGCTGGTATTTAGATAAGATATACTTGTTTTCAAACCAGTGCATGAAACCATTGGCGTAAGCTGGTGCCATGGCTGCCCCCATCGCAGTCCTGGAAATTTGTAAAAAAAATTGATCCTCAAATTTGAAATAATTGCATGTTAACGCTACATTCAATAACTCAATGAGGAAGGGAATGTGTGGACCTTTGTACATTTCATCGTTAAGTAATATCTCAGATATAGCTTCAGTTCCCTCCT